ATTGGGTGGACCGCCTCCCCGACATCGAATTCGCCTACAACACTTCGGTGCACCCGGCGATCGGAGTGACTCCATTCGAGTTGCACCACGGTGGCAGGAAAGGCCGTATCTTCTCTGATCTTCCATTTCCAAGGACTGCCGACATTGATGTCGCTTGTTCTCCCGCCTCCATTCAAAAGTATAGGAACTTGCTGGCTAAAGTCCGCGCCAACATGCAAAAGGCTCAAGTCTGCATGCAACAGCAAGCTAACAGGCGTCGCGTACCATGCCCTAACCGCACCGGCGACCTTGTTTGGGTCTCCACGAAGGAGTTTTTGCTTGAACAAGATGTGTCCCGCAAGCTCCTTCCAAAGTGGTTTGGACCATGGCCCGTCACATCAGCCGCGAGCGATGAGCCCGATAGCCCCTCCTTTGTGATCAAAATCCCGCTGCATCTCACGGTGCACCCGGTTTTCCACGCCTCCAAGCTGGCCACATATACACCAGCCAAGAGCGACGACTTCCCGGCCGACGATCACAGGACCCTCCTTCCATGGATGGTTATAAGGAAGTCGACGACGTCATCACGCATCGCAAGCACGGCAACAAGCCAATGTAGTACAACGTCACATTCAATTGGTGCGACCGCGATGACATGCGATGAATTTCCAAGGCAGCTTTGCAAGCCTCCGCACCAGATATCTACGCTGATTATGAGAAAAAACGCCTAGCCACAGAAGTTGCACAGCCTCCCACCAGGACTCCAGTCCCTCCCTCCAAAAGACAGCTTCGCCCTCGCAGGTTAGCTCGGTCTTTCAAGGAGGGGGGAGTGTGGCATACTCAGTACCACACGGGCCCAGCAGGGCCCGACCAGGTAGACTAGGGGTCCGTAGGTGTAGGGCATGTGTCGTTTCAACCTAAAAGCCTGAAAACGAGGGCCTACAGGCCCTGTGTCGTTTCGGCCTAAAAGCTTGAAAACGAGGGCCATTTTCAGGTCCTCATAAAGTCGACCTGCCCTGAAACTTAGGCACCAGACCAGGGTTTTAGCACACGCCATTTTGGGCCTGTTTTCAAGACAACCTTTATTCGAACTTCAACCCCAAGGTCTGGCACGTTTTGGCATTGGCAAGAGTAGCCTCCTGGACGGGCCAGCACTATATAAGACTGGCCCGCCCTACAGGCTGCAGGGAGAGTCAGTAGGCAGTTCATAGGAACTTCCCAGGCACTTCACGTGCAGGCAACATGAGGTAGTCTTCAGGATTCGGCAGCAGCACTCTGGAGGAGCGCTGCAAGAGTAGTAGCATTAGCAGTAGTCTTCAGCGCTGGGCGCTAGTAGGAGCTAGAGTAGCGTTGGAGAGAGAGAGAGATGGTTGCTGGAGGCCAGGGAGACTTACCTGTGGCGCCATAGCTGGTGCTGCCTGAGCACGGCCTGCCAAAACGGCTAGGCTCTGTTGGATATCCTGAAGGATGGTAGTTTGATGCTCCTGCATATCTATTACGCCTAGCAGGGCCTTCCTAACTACCGTCATATCAGCATCCATGTTCGTCAGGTCCATCGTCTCTAACTCCTCTATGTCTGCCCCTCTCCGCTTCGTCCTGGCTCTTCTTCTGATCATCTTCTCTTTCTCCGCTTTTATCTCTCCTAATGCCCGCTGTAGTTGTGCCTCATGCAGGGCTGCCTGCTGGATGGCGACATCCTCTGGAGTCAACACTAATGCTTGGCTTGCCATAATGCCAGTGGACTGACTCACGGTCTGCCCGACCGTTGACCCGACGGCACCTGAACTGCTGGCTTGGGAAGTCTGTTGCGCAGAAGTGACCATGGCGGAAGTAGCCATGGCTGCTGTAGCACCGGCCTCGCTAACTAAAGCCCTGCTGGCCTCGGCTGCTCTAGCTCTCCTATGCTGCTGCTGCTGCCTCTCCCTAAGCTGGCGGAACAGAATCCTGTCCCCCTCTGGTCCTACTGCCAAGTGGGCAACTGGGCGTCTAGCTGATCGCAATAACCTCCGATCGTCCTCTCCAGTGTCCTCCTCATCGCTCATACGCTACAACGCTGTGCACCGTCTACACTAGGACACTCTAGGTGCCTACCGCAACATAATGCTCAGACCAATCAGTTGGTGGCTATTTTGGAACAGATATCACTTGAGGTCAACAGGTAAGTCACATTCCTACAACTGAAACTATTTTTAGTCTGACTAGTCCGCAAACAGAAGCACCAGGAACAATAAACAGTTCTAACTAATGCTGTCTGTCAGATGTCAATGGCAATACATCTAACTAATCAAAAACATAAAAATAAAATAATTTGTGTGGATAGGACAGCATGGAATTTTCTCGTAACTTATCACCTGGAATCAACCCCTCCCTTAGTTCCCCCGAGTATCACTTGACGTCAGCGTCCCTGAGCAATCTGGAGAGCGTTGCGTGTCTAAAGGTGTGTCCGGCCCACCCCCGTGCCCCGAGTATCCACTGAGCTGGCCAGCCTTGCACGTATATTTATCCTCGGCGTGCCGCAAGCCTTACATCACTGGCTGATCCAGAGGCATTTTAACGTCCGCCCCCAAGTGACATCAGGAATTATTTTATGTCGCAACAGGACGACGATCACAGCCAGTGATATCCCCTTCCCGTGTTTATTTATAGACGCCGGGAGCTCGTCTTTCCTGTAGGGCTGGCCTGCCCAGTAGTACCCATCTAACAGCGCAGCAAGCCGAACAAAGGACAAGCAGCAAGGCATGCGTGCTCCCTATGGGTTGGCATGGTGACCGTGACCCAGTGCTTCGTCCAGGGCCCTTCAGAAAGCTCCGCCCATCTCCACCCAGATGCTCCACGTGAACATTGCCGACTCTCAAGGTTGAGCGCACTCGACACCTCACGATGAGAGGACTCTCGAGAAGGAACACAACCTCACGGTAAGAAGTGTCGGAGAGGGAAGATAAGGTTAAGAGCAACATACCTCAAATACCTGCCCCCAACCACAGAGATAATCTCACCAGATGACCAGATGGCGATTGCGATGACCAGTCACTGCATCGGCACAACCAGCATTGAACTCCGTTCCACCTCAGCATCAATCGCACATTAGATAGTTCTCATCGCGCTGTCCAGACCACATTCACCTCACGTAGCCTTCCTCGCGATCCCCTCACCTCCTGGGTCGCCACCACACTCGTCTCCACCCTCCTCACTACACACCACTTACCACCAAACTCGCCCAGCAGACCGCATGTATGTACCGCGTAAGGCAGAAGACAAGCGCCAGATGAGCGCAATCGTACCACAGCTCCGATACCAAATTGCAAGGAAGATGAGCAATAGCGAACTTCAGCAATCAAACAGCATCATTCATATGAGTCCAGATAGTCTT